GCTCAACAAAATATTAGCAAACAGAATTCAAAAATACATAAAAAAGATCATCCATCATGATCAAGTAGGATTTATTCTAGGGATGCAAGGATGGTACAACATTTGAAAATACATCAACATCATCCACCACATCAACAAAAAGAAGGACAAAAACCACATGATCATCTCCATAGACGCTGAAAAAGCACTTCACAAAATTCAACATCCATTCATGACAAAAACTCTCAACAAAATGGGTATAGAGGGCACATACCTCAACATAATAAAGGCCATATATGGCAAACCCACAGCCAATATTATACTCAACAGAGAGAAGCTGAAAGCCTTTCCTTTAAAATCTGGAACACGACAAGAATGCCAACTCTCCCCACTTCTATTCAACATAGTACTGGAGCTCCTAGCCACATCAATCAGACAATACAAAGAAATAAAAGGCATCCACACTGGCAAGGAAGAAGTTAAAATGTCCTTGTTTGCAGATGACATGATAGTGTACATAAAAAACCCTAAAGAATCCACTCCAAAAATACTAGATCTAATATCTGAATTCAGCAAAGTTGCAGGATTCAAATTCAATATGCAGAAATCTGTGAAATTTCTATATACTAACAATGAACTAGCAGAGAGAGAGAGAAATCAGAAAAACAATTCCATTCACAGTTGCATCAAAAAGAAGAAAATACCTGGGAATAAACCTAACCAAGGAAGTGAAAGACCTATACTCTGAAAACTACAAGACACTCATGAGAGAAATTAAAGAAGATACCAATAAATGGAAACACATCCCGTGCCCATGGATAGGAAGAATTAATATTGTCAAAATGACCATCCTGCCTGAAGCAATCTACAGATTCAATGCAATTCTTATCAAAATACCAACAGCCTTCTTCAACAAACTAGAGAAAATAGTTCTAAAATTTATATGGAACCACAAAAGACCCCAAATAGCCAAAGCAATCCTAAGAAGGAAGAATAAAGCTGGGAGGATTATGCTCCCCAACTTCAAGCTCTACTACAAAGCCACAGTAATCAAGACAATTTGTTAACACTTTAACTACAACTGATAAATGCAACATTACTTTTCATGTGGGAGAAAGCTGCTACCAACTAGGTATGGTTACTGGGCTTGCATTAGAAAAACTATATGGAGGAAATTACAATGAACAGTCTAAAGTTTGCTGTGAAAACAACATATTTTTATTAAAATAATTACAAGTCAGAAAACAACAATAAAAGGGAAATTCCACAACCTTTGTTTGCAACTATATAATCTTTATGTAGAAAAACTATAGTGACCATCTGGAAAGCAGCTCCACAATAAATGTAATCCTTACATCAAGAGGAACTAGAACAAGGAATCAGCTCACCCAAAAGAAACTGACTTGCTGTAGAGTATTTCAGGTGAGCAGATTTCAACTATATTATTCTCATTTCTGAAAAACTGTCTTTCCTGATATTTCAAATCACCAGGGATATGATACACAAGCACCTGCTGAGTAAAAGGATAAAACACAAATACGTGAGCACAATTACATGTGAAAACGACTGAGGGCAATTTTCTACGAATCTACAAAACTACATAAATAACCAATTACACACACAATCCATTTACACTGAAGCTCCATGAGGTGGTACTGAATAAACACTGAGGTGCTGAACTCTCAACAATGGAACATGGCTCATCCTGAACAGCAGCACATTCCCACCTTACACTCTGTCATAACAACACTTCCTCTGGGATTTGTATTTGTGTATTATTATGTAAGTCCTAGGAAGGTGGTAACAAAAATAAAGAAAAAAGCCAGGAGGAAAATGAATTAAATACCCCCTTAAATCTATTCTAAAACATGCACGTGAAGTAAGAAACCAAGCACTTTGTGAGTTTTTACAGTCATGTCTTTTAACTTACTCGAATGATTTCATTACTATATGCACTAAATTTTCTGTTAATTTTTCCATTAAAATGTAATAGAAGAAGAAAATAAAGAGAAAAGCTCTCATTTCTTAAATGTACAGTCTTAGAAAGCAGTACTATTTATTTTTAAGAACTTTCCCTGCTAAAGAAATCACACTGTTGTGGTAATCAGAATAGGTTAAGTCACTCTGGCAATACAGAGATTTATTTGCTCTCATTTTTAATAATCATAAACTGTTATCATGACTGTGTAATTTTTTATAATTCACACCACCAGAGGCAAATGTGTAGAAAATATTTCTAAGAAATGTAAATTAGATCATGACTGGAATTTCTTAAAAATATTTTCAAGTGCTTAAGAATATTAAAGTTTGGGGGAAAAAATACAGAAGTCATGTAAGCAAGTATTCCCTCCAAGATTCTTTAATTGGGATAAAAGTCCCAGGGCAAGCCCACAGGGATAGTCTGCAAGAAAGAAAAATTCGGTCAGTGTATGTATAATTTCTGCAACTTCAGCAGAAATGCCAAAAACATTCTGAGGTACATAAAAGCATTCTTTCGGGTCAGGGCTTTTTGTCGTTTTAGTTATTTAATCTCTAAATTCTGAGAGTGTTAGAGTTTAGAAATGCTCACATTTCTAAATGTGAGCTACCAACAGTAATAAGAAACTACAATGTCAAACGAAAGATTCACAAACATGATCCTTTTCAATCATAGGTCTCTCTCTGGTAAGAAATAGACCACCATTTATTTACTTGCTCTCACCTGTAGAAGAGAGGGAGGTTAAATGGTATTAACCTGGTTATGAATCCCTGTGTACAAATGTGAGGTTAGAGAGTAAAGAGTTTAAGCCACACCCTGCATAAGAAGAGCAGACAACAAAGGACTTCCTCTACATGTAACTATGATAGAGGAGAACTTTCAATTACAGAGCTGAACAGGGTTTTTTCCTGTAACTAGAAGGCCATGCCTACAAACATTTCAGTCAACCTGTAAAAACTTTACTATCTAATTAAAAGTGTTATTTAGATAGGAAACAGATGAATAATACTAAATATTTTTTTTAAATATGGTAAAATATCTCCCCCCTTACAATTCACCAGTTTTTGATCTGGCTCAACTTTCACAGAATCCATGAAGAGGCTAATATTTTCTTGTTAAGTAACAACTGGAAACAACCTAATGATACCATTTGCAATTCCGGGGGAAAAAATCCAGTACAATCTAATACACACAAAAACAAACTTCACAGAACAGATACCCAATCAAACCTAAGCAATCCCCGCTCACCCACACAGAAGTAAGCCAGTCTTATTCACTTAAACAATGTTTGTTGCATCTGGATCCTGATTAAAAACTGCCATCGGAAAAATTCTGCAAATAAACACCCAAAACAGACCTAAAAATTTCTGCTCACTCCTGCTTCGCCACGATACATTTTTAAGAGAGAAATAAATATTCCTTACAACTTGACTGGCAAAACCATTACCTGGCCAATTATTTCTAAGCCTACACTGGATACCAACAAATGATGGAATGACCGAATCACTAGCAACTCAACATTGTTGTCTTTGCAAAGAAAAGCAATTATACAAATTTTATTCTCCCAGGCAATGAACAGGAGAGAAAAATATTACTTTAAAAATGGCTGTATTTGTAATTTTTAAAAACCAGCACCAAATGTTCAAGTTTAATTACTCTCAGCAACATTTAGGAATTAACATTTCCTAACAATATGGACAAACAAAAGAGTAAACGAGTAATGCATGGTGATAAGAACTACTACATAAAATAATCTGACTGGCTCATTTCTAAAGCTATTGGGGGTTTGCCCAGTTTGTGAATAGCATTCTTCACCTACGTCCCAAGTCATGGGTACAGCTTATTCTGTTGTGACTAGGCAAGATTAAGTAAAACAAACTGAAAAGATATTTTTAAAAAGCAAGCTAAGTCAAAATAAATCCATTATTAGAATAGTTTTCTACTCTATTAAGGCAGAACACACTCATCAAATGACTATATAAAGTGACTAAATGAAAAACTGAAAAGCAAAATTCACAAATAGTAGTAGTGTCAGTTTACATCTACATAACCCTTTATTACATTATATTTATAGCACTATTATGATCCATATTACACAAGGCTTATTTCTTCCTCATACTGTAGCAGTATTAGTCCCATTATATAACAATTCCACCTCTGCAAATTGTTTAAATCAACTTTTTGCACTTTGAATTTACAAACTATTGGATGTTAAATTGCCTGAAAACTACTAAAATTTTATGTAAAGCCAAACCTAAGTTTAAAAAAAACCCAAAAAGCCCCCACAAAGGTACTTTATACAGAACCTTGTAGAAATATACTGATACCAGTATTAGGAAAAATTGCCTACAGAGGGCTATAGGGCTATAAATGTCATACAAAAATTCTATAGCCAACTCTTGCTAGAAAAGTTCTTTTATAAATAAACACCTTTTGTGATTGAAGATGAAATCAAAAGATGGAGACGCAATTTCTCCCTAAAAACAAGTAGTTGCTCAGGACATAGGCTGAGCGTATTGAAATTATATTGCTTCTTTGAAAACAGAAAAAAATACTTAAGCCAGGCATCCCATTAACAAAAGACCATGCCACGTTTACATGGTCTTTTGATCTCTGGGTACTACTAGTATTATCCAAGAGAACCTTATCAAAGAAATTGGTTGGCAAACCTACCAAATTGGAGTCTCAGGTCCCTTAATTTTGATAGCCATCTTAGTCAATATAAAACTTTAGCTATTCAAACAACAAAGCTTGTAAAGTGCATTGGGTCTAAGAAACACAAAAAGCTAAACTCAGTAGGACTTTAAGGGACTTGATGTCACCAATAGGGCAAAAAAATAGCATTATAGTTTTCTGTTCAGATTTTATTTGAAATCTAATTCAAACTGTCAAAGCTACAAAAAGGGGAAAGACGTCTGTATTATTTTTGCTAAGTCACAACATCCTAAAACAAAATACCACTACTGCCAGCAGATCCATTATACACATTTCTGACAAAATTCATTAGCACAATAAAAATTTCATCTTGAGAAACAGCCACAACGCAAGTAATTTTTACAATATAAAACAATGACAGGTCTACAGATGCAGTTACTCATGAGTTTACACATGCATTCACAAAAAACAAACAAAAACCCCAGGAATGCTCTTTCATTCGTTTTTTTTTTTTTTTTAAAAGACCATTCAGGCACAAAACAAAATTGCATTTCCAGTAAGTGACAGCATCTTAAAAATTTACATCAGTGTTTTTCTTTGACTTTTTATGAGACCTGTGAGGAGATCGGGACTGGGATCTGGATTTCTTCCCTGATTTTTTAGGGGATCTAGACCGTGATCGCCTAGATCTTTTAGGTGTCCTTGAGCCAGATGGTGATCTAAGAAAACAAACAAAAAGGATTTATCAAAATACTCATGTGATCAAACCTATCTTCAAATTATCTAAAGTGATCTTTAGCAAAGCACAATGAACAAAACTGAAATAAAAAATGAAAACTTCCCAAACCTATACTTTGCCAACTGTACACACACATGGATTTTGTACTTCCTATGCATTCTATAAGTGATCATCAACAGTGTACTTGCTTAAGATAGATCTGGAACCTACCACTACTCTACTAAATCAAACTCTCAAGAGGAAGGGACTGGGGATTTGCATTTTTAGCAAGCTCCCCACGATACTGATAAATCACGAAGTCAGAACCTCTAAATCTACCAGATAAAGCTCAAAATAAGATAATTCATAAAACCTAAAAAACACAGCAGATTGACAGCCTATCTTTTTGAGGGAGAAAGCACCAACCAGAGCAACAACATTCAGGGAAATCATTTAGGACGGTGTGACTTTGTAAGTGCTGTTCAGGAAGACCACCAACACATACACATGTAGACGTACAAGTACCACTTAGAGAAGGAAAAAGTTTCCCATTTTATAAAGATTTTATTATTAAGTTTTAGGATATAAAGCAGTTTTAGCTCTCAGGAAAATTCCTTTATGCAACACCAGATGAATAAAACATTTCGGAACCACTCTTCTGGAACCAGAAGAAAGAAAGTACGTCACACACTAAATCCCACACTGAAGAAATGGTATTTATGGTATATATTTCCACAAGTCTCTACCCAAGAACCCTCTAATAACATTGCTGGGCGTGGGGGTAATGTATTTTTCTTTCGGCCTTAACAAAAATCGAAGAATATTCTATAGAAACAAGAACACAATGAAGAGTAAAGCAGCTGCCCCTAATTCCATAGGAAACAGTGAGTATGATATGTTTAAAATTCTTGGCTGGCCTTTACTTGTTGGGAGTCTTCTTGTGCTTTAACCATAAGGAGACTTGGATGGGGAGGTAGGAGGGAATAATCTAAAATGAAAGTACCTCTCCTTAGTTTTTCTAAAATCCTCTAAAGAATGGCTACCAACCAAATTATTTCCAAAAGCTGGTAGAATGACAAGGAGTCTCGCATTTGAAATATTACAAAAAAGGACTTGCATTTACCTTTTGGCCTTTTTGCTAACATCTCTAGGAGAATCTTTGTGAGATGACCCGGACCGTGAGCTCTCTTTATGAGACCTTTCTGAACGCTCTGAATGCTCCGATTCTGGTGATGGGGATTTCACGCGTCTACCACTGCTACTGCGAGACGGGCTTGGGGATGTACTGTGTCGCCTTTTCCTATGGAACAAAGCCCCCAAAACATTCCATAAGTGAGCAAAGGATCAGGTAATTCGTTTTCCTTCTACTAAATTAGTTATTAATTCCTATTAGTTTACACTAACTTTAGTTTCACTAACCTTTTATTAATGTTATTTTCCAACAACATCCAAAGCCCTTTATGCCAAGAACAAATAGATCTTAAAGATAAGTTGATCAAGACAAAAACTGAGTTCAACGAAACTGGATTTTCCTTTGTTATAAGAGAGATTACTAGGACAGGACAAAATTTCCTCAAGGCATCCGACTAGATCGTAAATGTTTTAATGTTCATTTCCTCCTCTTGAAACTTTTACTGTGGTTATGCAAGAAAATAAGGCATTATGTTGGCAAACTTCTCTTAAATGGTTGGGAAGGGTAAGAAAATAAAGCAAAAATATATATAAACATTTGGGGAATGTGGGTGAAGGACATTTGGGAATTCTTTATACTATTCTTCTCTTGCAACAGATTCTCTACGAATCTGAAATTATATCAAAAAAGTAGTTAAAGACAATAAAGTGATAGATTTATTATTTAACTGATTAGTATAACTATGCTACCTGTAACTACCTTTATATTGACTCAGAATATTTTTCTTTGCATTCGCTTAGTTTTTATTAGGAAAACCTCAGTTCTGTTAACTGAAGCAATTTCCTCTACTAAGTCAGAGATTTAGGAAGTGTGAAAAGAAGAAATAAAGACTAAGAGAGAAATGAATTTTGATGAGAATGAAGACTTAAAGTTAGGAGCAAGTCCCTATGGCCTCTGTATACAATATCCTTTCAAGACAGGACTGGGAGACTCATTTGTAGGTAGCAGCCTCAACACAGAAGAAACGCTTACACTGCAGGCAACAAGGAAGATTTAGTGAGCTGTTAGTTATTTAACACTTAGGCTTGATACCTAATATGGTAACTTCATTCTTGCACTAAACTAAGGCTAAGGTACCACATGAACCATGTTAAGGGATGATGTCACAGTTAAGTAAGCCAGGTGTCAACTAACTGCCCCATATCCCAGCTAATTTTGCCTCCTGCAGGCAGGAGACAAACATGTTTATCATGAAAAAATACTTTTCTAGCTTGTTGGCATCAGAGATGAAAATATTACAAAATGAAACATCAATCCAAAATTTGAAACTAGAATAGGCATTAAATGAGAAATGTTTTACCTTTCTTTCCTTGTCGGGGTACATTCATCTTTTTCCTTCTTGTCTTTGGATCGAGATTCCAATTTTTCTTTATCTTTCTTATCTCTTTCTCTTTCTCTTTCTAATTCTTTCTCTTTCTCCTTTTTTTTTCAAGAAAGAATATTTAGTCATTAAAAAATACCAATCTGGGTCAATCTCATTCATGTAACAATATTATCTCTTCCAGTTAACTATTTTTAAAATCACTATTAAATGTATAATACCACTTTTTAAAAAACACCTACTCTTCCAGAAAAAATCATTTCTTCTACTTATACTAACAGTAGTGATACCAGCAACAGTAGCTAAGCATTTACTGAGAGCTCAGCATAAGCCAATCAATTACTAAACAACTTTCCATACACCATTTCATGTACTCCTTCAAATCACCCTTAGGAATAGTACTATCACCCTCATTCTTGAAATGAAAAATGAGACTCAGAAAGGTCAAGTACTAATGTTCATGGTCACACAAGATAGTTAAGCATTTGAGCCCAAACTTTAAAGTCAGGGCTCGTAACTACTTAACCTTATATAAAATAGTCAGTAGTGATTCTAACTGTGCAGCAAATGGATTTAATCAAAAGCGAGCTCTTAGCAAAGTAACAGGCTGCAAAATAGAAATAGCTAGTCACAATAATCATCTATCAGAAATTATTAGTGAGAAACAACTACCAATTGTATTGGAAATTTTAAATCCTAATTTATAAAAATACGAACTGACTATATGACATATAATTATATAAAACAGAAAAATAACAATTCTTATCCCAAGCTACTACAATTTCCACTTCTCACTTGAAATTGTCATTTTTGTTAGTAATATTTAAGGAATGGCTTCAGAAAATGAATGCACAAAGTCAACTGTATCTCACCAACAGGAATTTAATTTCTCTATGATTGACAGTCATCAAGAAAACTATCTGACAGATGATAAAAAGCCTATATATGATTTTTGGCAAACATTTTCTGTAAAGAGCCAGACTGTAAATATTTTCTGCTTTGTGGCCCACACACAGTCTCTGTCACAAGTATTCAACTCTGCCACTGTAATCCAAAAGCCACTGTAGGTAATACGTAAGTGAAGGGACATGGCTGTGTTCCAATAAATTTACTGACAAAAATGAGGTGATGGCCACAATCTGCTGATTCCTGGTATACACCTTCAAAAAACATCCTTCTTTCCAATTACAATCATGGAGTGCAAGGAAACTAAAATGATAACACATGCATTATTAGTACCATCAGGACCAGTGAGCAGCTCAAGGTGTAGTCTTCCATACAGATTAAACACCTGCCACCAGCTGCAAAGAGACTTGTTGGGTACACATACATGGCATCTTTTTAAAAACTTCATCTATCTCCTTTCCAAATACAACATACAGAGCACAAATTTTAAAAGTGGTACTGAGCAGACTGATTTCTTCTGTTGATCTGTAGGATACATTATCCTGATTGATAATTCTCCAGGAATCAAACTATACTTACAATATTTTAAACAGTTTAATTCAAAAATAAAGAGTACAGTAACTATTATCTCACAATCCTGCAGAATTGGGACTTACAACAGTTTCAGAGAGAAAAGCAGGTCCCCAGTGACTTGCCTAGGAGTGCACAGTGGAGAGTGGCACCCAAACTGCATGTGTGCACAACCCCCGAGTTGTGTTATCACACTGTTGCCCCACCAGCAGTTCTACACCATTAATAACTTCACAGTGAATGTAAGCTCCCTGCCAGCTTTTTTCTGACTTTTTCTATATAATTTTTGTAAAGAGAGTCAAGATTATAGGTAAATATTAATAGCAGTCCCAATAAAACTCCTGAGTTTTCTCAACAATTATTATGTGGGCCTCCTTACTCTAAAATTTCTCTGCCTTACATTTTTTAAATATACAATATATGAGGTCCCTCAAAAAGCTCAGAATTCACTGATGAGGTATTCTACCACTTGCTGTCCCTCCCTCAAACTAATGGGAAAGGAGTCCTCGATGAACTCCCCAAACTCTGTCTCTGTGCCACTTCTCAGGGTTGTTGGTGTGTCACTGTCACAAATACGACTCCCTATAGGGTCTCCTACTAGTTTTGAAAGCATGCTCTTAGCAGGATTTTCTAGTCCTCAGGTAGTATCCAGAATAAAATTGTATGCTGTTACCGTAAGAGCCTTTTCCAAGTTGAAACAATTGTGTAACATCAAATTTCAAATGTTCCTAATTATCTATCAGGATTTATACATCAAAGGATACAATTACTTCTTCTCCTTAAGTATATCAATATACCAGTATTATAGGTAGTCAAACAAATATTTTTAGAAAATGCATATTCTGAATTATACTTATTCCTTACTCGTTGAAGAAGTTTATCTCTGTAGTGTTCTATTTGCTCCTGAAAGCTCTGGCCTGGCTTTTTAGGTCTTTTCCCAGATTCCAATTCATCCTGAAACTTCATGACTTTGAGCTGTGAAGTAAAAGATTTTTAAAATAAATCTTTTCATCACTATAGCTTCTCAAGCACTGCTTTGCTCTTTCTTAAAGAATTCTTTTCTTTGAAACAAGTATAAAAAAGAAGAAACATTAAAATAGCAAAGTAGTAACTGATTCACACTCAGTCAAAATAACATAAAACTCGTCAAACAAGCCCAATTATGCAGAATTAAGTAAGCAGGCAAGAGCCCACATGCTCTCCACACAGCCAGATGAGATGACTTGAAAACCATGAACTGTGTGTGGTTCATGCCCTTAAGAAATGACTTATCTCAACACAATGATAATGAATTTGGTATCTGGTTCCCCAAATAGAAAGGCAAGATTGCTAAAGACAAGCATACTTCCAGCAAGATACGACAGCTGGAACACAAAAAGATGAACATAAAAAAAAAAGCGACATCTAGTTACAGTTCATGTGGGAGCAAGCACAGAGCTGCAGTGTGAAGGGTTCTTTCTAGTTACAGTACAGGACGGTCACTGGACAGCAAGACATGAAGAAAAGATCAAATCATATCTGGAATGTACTTTTTAAGACAGTAAGAGTATATACTGATAAAACAGCATTGTTTGGGAAAGAATGTAGACCACCTATAGTTTTCAAGAGATTAATGGCTGATTATGTATATTATATATACATAAAATACATACCTCCTTATTGAACTAGGGGAGGACAAATAAGGTGAAAAGCATGAGGGCTTAAGAGATGTCAGAGGCAAGGATGAAAAGCACATGGATCCTGGATGGTACCACCAGACTGCAGTTCCAAACCTGCCCAATACTGTTTCAATTGAAGAGAGGTGGAGGAAATGCTTGTCCAACAGAACTACTGGACATGCAAACTTCTTACCCTGTTTTATTCAGAACTGGTAGGTCCCTTAAATGGACTAAATGCTACTATAATATTTTATGTATTTTTAAAAAACAAAACCTCATTTGTTTCAGGCTTTTTTCCTCCTCTCGCTACAAATGAGGACAATGAAATGGAGACAAGCTACAAAACGTTTTTTCCATTTCAAGTGGTATTTTCACTCTTTCTGACTTCATGAACATTTCTAGTAAGTTCTCTGATGTTTACCCTTTTTCTACCTACATCCACTTCTATAATCAGGACCATTTACAACCAAACCTTTGAGGTTCTCTCCTCCTCTTCTTTCAAAACTTTTTAAAAGAAGTTTTTTGCATTTTTTATTGTTTTAATTATGATTACATCTTAAAAGATAGTTAAGATGTAAGGGTAAGAGAGAAGGGGGAAAAATGTAAATGCCTAACTAAGTTCATCACTGTGTGAAGCCACCAAAGTGACTCTTCTCTATCGAATGTACTTTTGGTAAATTGGTTTAGGAGATAAGCACCCAAGAGTCAAACAGCAGGCCTGAATGTTACTTTGGGGAAAGAAAGGCATTCTTAGAAAACCTTTAAAAATATATATGGTATGATATATATATATATATATATATATATATGTAAAATCCCTATAGTTCCTGCTGAGGTGCTCTAACTCAGGCACAAGCACAAGTCCAAGGCACCCAGAACACAGGTGACAAAGGGTCCCAACTCAAAAAAGAGCAGTCCATGCAATGGCTCATTAGCCATCCCTCTCCTTGTTGCCCTCAGACAACTACTCGCTCAACTACTCGCTCTTTCTTCAGGAATCAGGGCAGAAAAGGGATCCTTCTTCTCCAACAAAAACAGAAAACCCTTCACCTGGCTCCCCACCTAGTGTTCCACGCCTCCAACCCTTGCTGGCAGAACTCAGATTAACAGTAGAATAGTAAAAGACAACTCCAGCCTAGGCACTGCTCTAAGTAGGATATGAAAGACTGAGAACCTCTTTTCAGTCCATGCTTTAATATCAAACTGTCACATGTTTTCAAATTGCTTTGCAGGGAATGTCAATATTTTATAACATAAATCCTTTGGTTTTTATAAATCCCATGCTAAAAAATGTTCAGCTATAGAAATCTTTTACTATGGCATATTTAGGGAAGAGCAACACCACAGCCTACATGACTATACATATACACATACATACATACACACACACACGTATGTAGTATAAAATATAATGAAACCAATTATAAATTTATTCTTTTTTAAGGGTTCTCCAATAAAAGGGTACTCACTGGATTTCAAATCAAGAAACTAACATTTGAATTTAGGAAAAGAAAAAAAAGAACACAGGAATAAAATTCATGAGCTCTGATTTCTAGTTCAAAATTGCCAAGTTGTGGATCTTGACTCCAAGTGACTAAATCTCTGAGTAAATAAGGGAGAAGAATTAGATAATTCTAAAATGAAGTCAACAACTAAATCTTAAAATTAGGATTTGGCTTGCAGTCCAAATCCCAAAAAGGTAAGTAAGCTGTGAGTGGTAAGCACTATGGGAACAGGAGAAGTGAGTACAGGGATACCTCACAGATACTGTGGGTCTGGTGCCCACCACAATAAAGGGAATTTCACAGTAAGGTCAAATCAATGTTTTCATTTCCCAGTGCATATGAAAGTTATGTGTACACTAACTGTAATCTAGTAAGTGTGCAATTAACATTATATCTAAAAAAACAATACACTTACATTAGTTAAGAATACTTTATTGCTAAAAAATGCTAAGAATCATCTGTGCTTTCAGTGAACAATCATCTTTTTGAGGGGGAAGGTCTTGCTTTCGTGTTGATGGCTGCTGACTGACCACAGTGATGGTTGCTGAAGCCTGGAGTGAGTGACTGTGGCAATTTCTTAAAATAAAGACAACAATGAAATTGGCCACATCAATTGACTCCTCTTTTCACAATTTCTCATAGCATGATGCTGTTCCATAAGCTCTTTACCCTCAGCAGAACTTCTTTCAAGCTTGTAGACAATCCTCTCAAACCCCGCTGCAGCTTTATCGAAGTTTCTATCATATTCTAAATCCTTTATCATTCAACAATCTTCACAGCATCTTCACTAAATCCATCCCAAGAAACCACTTTCTTTGCTCATCTATAAGAAGCAACTCCTCATCCATTCAAGTTCTATCATGATATTGTAGCAACACCACTGCATTTTTAGGCTCCACATCCTATACTAGTTCTCTTTGTTATTTCCTCCACATTCTTGGTACTTCCTCCACTTAAGTCTTGAACCCTCAAAATCAGCCATGAGGGCTGGAATCAACTTCTACTAAATTCCTGTGGACATTGGTATTTTGACCTCTTCACATGAATCACAAATGTTAATAGCATCTTGAACAGTGAATCCTTTCCAAAATACTTTGTTTACTTTGCCCAGATCCATCAGAGAAATCACAATCTATGGCAGCTACAGCTTACAAAGTATTTTTTAAATAATAAGACTTGAAAGTCAAAATGATCCATTGGCTACAGAATGGGATGCTTTTGGCAGGCTCAAAGAAAACAACATTCATTTCATGGTACATTCCCATCAGAGCTCTTGGGTGACCAGAGTAGCAATATTTTGAAAGGAATCTTTTTGTGAGCAATAGTCAACAGTGGGCTTAGAATATTCAGCAAATCATATTGTACACCGATGTGCCATCATTCAGGCTTTGTCGTTCCATTTATAGAGCACAGGCAGAGATTCAGCACAATTCTTAAGCATTCTAGGATTTTCAGAATGAAGCATGAGCGCTGGCTTCAACTTAAAGTTACCAGCTGCATTAGCCTCTAACAAGAATGAGTCTATCCTTTGAAACTGTGAAGCCAGGCAATGACTTCTCCTAACTATGGAAGTCCTAGATGGCATCTTCTTACAATAGAAGGTTGTTTCACCTACACTGAAAAATCTGTTGAGTGTAGCCATCTTCGTTAATTATCTTAGCCACATCTTTATAACTTGCTGCAGCTTCTACAACACCCCTTGTTGCTTCACCTTGTACTATTATAGAAATAGCTTCTTTCCTGAAACCTCATGAATCAACTTCTAAACCAACCTCTGCTAGCTTCAAACTTTTCTTCTGGAGCTTCCTCACCCCTCACAGAATGGAAGAGAGTTATAGGGCCTTGTTCTGGATTAGGCTTCAGCTTAAGGGAATGCTGTGGCTAGTCTGATTTTCTATGCAGACCACTCAAACTTTCTCTGTATCAGCAGTAAGGCTGTTGCCCTTTCTCATCCATGTCTTCACTGGAGTAGCACTTTTAATTTCCTTCATAAACTTCCTTGGCACTCACAACTTGGCTAAGTGGTGCAGGAGGCCTAGCTTTCAGCCTGTCTCTGCTTTTGACATGCCTTCCTCACTAAGCTTAATCATTTCTAGCTTTTGATTTAAAGTGAGAGAAATGTGACTTCCTCCTACCATTTGAACACTTCGAGGCCACTGTAAGGTTATTGACAATCTCGGTATTTTGTCTCAGGGAATAGAGAGGTCCCAGGAGAGGGACACATGAGGGACTGGTCTGTCAGCAGAGCAGTCAGAGTACACACAACATTTAAAGACTGTTTAATCTTATCTTGGAGCTGTTTGTGGTGCCCCAAAATAATTAGAGTAGTAACATCAAAGATCTCTGATCACAGATCAACAGAATAAATACAACAAAAAATTTTGAAGTAACAACTGCAAAAATGTGACAGAGACATGAAGTAAGCATAAGCACCAACATACTTGCTTGGCACAGGGTTGCCACAAACCTTCAATTTATTAACAAGTACCTGCAAAGAGCCACAAAACAATGTACATCTGTATCTAACAAAGGGAATGGACAGATTATCAAAGTGCACAGAAAGTATGGGAATGTATTAAGGTGTATGCATGTGTGTGCATACAGTCTACCACATATGTACATACACATACGGTGGGGAGATAATCATGCTCATAAAAACAAGCAATTTTCTTCTCTGTAAATCATTAAGGAGGTAGATTTAAGAATGATCAGTATGTTTTGGCATTTATAAGGTGGTAACTTCAGTTACCAAGAAACTATATTTTTATTGAATTCAGTCTTTGTTTCTACTCCAACAGTTCCATCAGGCCAGTAAGGCAGAGTTCAGTAAGGTTGGGAAGAGTTCTGATGATCAACGAGGTACATGTGCAGTTCGAAAAAGGTCCACAGGTACAAGCATTCACTGATACACTGTATCTTCCTCCTCTGAAAATTTTATAAAGAATGTGTATGGATACATCTCAGGAAAAATCAATCAACTTATTAACTCTGAAAATTCCTTCTCCCTACTGATTGACACCAGACTGATTGTGTGCCAGGTTAAAATAAAATACTTTCCCTGTTAACTTTTTGGCTTGTTGACATCTGAGAAAGAGGTGGGCAAAAACTTGTACCAGCCCGACAGCTAGTAGGTGGAAAAGTGGAAATAATGTAACTATAATGTAGATATCATAAGTTAGTAAGAAGAGTGCTAACACACTGTAGGCACTAGAAATACTGTTAAATGAATGGACAAAGTATTAAAATTCACTCACCCCCACTTAGTGCTACTCTACTGCTAACATTTACTGGGAATGTTTCATCACCTTGGAGCAAGGAACAAGAAAGGTTCCGATTATAAAATCCCTCCCTCTCTGACATTTCTGAATTCCTTTAGTAAGAAAAAGAGGCATTAAAAAATGAGGGGAAAAAGGGAGGGAAAAGTCTGCTAAATATAGTATGGACTCTCTCCTAAGTGTTTCCCCTTCCATTTGGTAAGCCTCAATTAATGTCTGCTCTCTCCCTGTCACTAAAGAGTACAGACACCTAAAATGACCCTACTGTAATAAAATATTCTGATTATTTGAACATGCCAGAAAATATCTCACTTTTCCTTGTTACATATTATGTACATTCAAAATGTAATGGGATTTCATAATACCAGGTATAATCTACTCATTCGAATCAGTGTCTTCAGAGGATATCCTCTGGCCAGGCACTAGAGATACAATGATGAAAAGACCACAGGCCCTTTACCCTCATGGAAACTGCAGCCCAGTGGGCAATACCAACATTAATAACCAACAAGCAAGCCAGGGAAACAAACATGATATACACACAATACATGTAAAATCAAAACATATATATAGGGAGAAGCAAGCAAATCCAGCAAGTAAGACAATGACACTGGAAGGAAGGGATGCATGAACTAAGAGGCCTGAAGGAAGTCAGCTGGTATGAAAAGTTTCTAGGCAGATAAGGAAGGGTATGGACCAAGGTATGATGCCAAGAGGGGGGCCTAGTTTGCTGGAAAAAGTGAAAGGAGACCAGTAGAACAGAGTTCAAACTCCATGGCATACTGACCTCAATTTCACGAAGTTTAGCTCGTTTTTCCTCACTCATTTCAGAGTACTTCGAGAACTTGGACTCAGTCATTTCTTCTTTAATTGGATTAGAGTACAAATGGTGTTCTTCAGATTTGGAACTCTGAGTATCTTCTTCATCTTCACTTTCTTCTTCTTGACTTTGGAAATAAGCAGAATACATTGTATGTCAAAGCAGCAAAAAAAATGTATCTTATAATCTGGCTTTTTCACTTTCACTGCCTTTAGATAGTGTTTTAACAAAACTTAGGAGGATAATTCATCACTGAAACATCTTGCACAAAATATTTGTTCAAATATATAGACAATTTTATAAAACTCATGTTTTTTTAAACACAAAAATTTTGAGTTTCAACATAACCATACTTTTCAAAATTCTGTTCATGTTAATGTTATCTGTGTGCCCTTAATTCTGCAACAAACTTTTCTCGCAGCAGTTAGATGAATAATCAATCAGTGGCTTCTACATACTTCACAGTTCAGAGTGATTCCATGAAGCTTAATGCTAAACAAGCCAAATATTTACCTGTCCTTCAACAGAGCCTATGAACTAGAAAAAACATGAGAATTATGACACAATTTTTAAATTGTGTCATACAGACCTACTATGAAACAATCAGTGCAGCACACGAAGATTGACTTATTAACACATAAACCTGGGAATAAAGCAACATACAAATTTCACTTATTAGCACACATTAGTACTCATGTCACAGTTCATACTGCAAGCTCTACTTATCTGTACCATGTCAGATAAGAAGTAAATGAAAAACTGACTATCATGGGTAATGACACAAAGAAGAAAACTTTTCCTGTCCTTCCAGAATCAATGTAGTGAAAAACAGATAGGCAGGCAACTATGTGTGTAAAGCTGGTCATCAATGCTAGGATAAGATTAACAAAATATTGAAGAACAAATGAAGGGGCTTAAAAAAAATAGTTATACCTTCTGGGAATAAGCTCTGTGTATGTTAAGTTCTGGGTAAAGCATGTTATCCATGTAAAATGAACTCAGAATGTTTATGTATAAATAAACAAAATTCCTTATAAACAACACTGATTAATGACATACTAGAAAATATATTCTCTTTAATATTTGAATCCGATAAGCCCTTATGTGTTGCTATTTGGGTACTAAATACATTCTACCATCATAAGTAGGATGAGTCCTTGTAGTACATATTTAAATCTACTCATAATTATGTTAAAACCAAATCCTTTCCAAATAAAAATTAAAAAATTTTTAAACCTGACTTGGATAAGACACACACAGAATGAGAGAAATTTAAGGAGGGCAGATAAAGTACTGGCAATTGAGAATCAGAAATAACAAGGTACTAGGAGAAGACTGTGCTAAATAGCTTTTAAATTTCTCATCCAAAGGTCTTTTTCAGGACATTACTAAAATGCTTTACAAACACTCTCTGAGCCCTGCAAATCATTAGTATTATACAAAGGTACATACAACTCAATATAATACTTAGGTAATGAAGAGAAAAGTAAAATCCAACCTTTAAAAAAAAGACAATAGACTCTTTTTGGAAATAAACCTTTTACTTAATGTTTCTCAAATTAAATTTGTCAGAAACTTCCTAAATGCAGGCTTTAGTTAATTTTTTAAAACACAAGAATTTCTTCTTTTATGGTACACAAAACTTTTACAAGTGCTTGAAATGCTTTTTAATGGTTAAACTGTGTGTGTGTGTAAATACAGATGTTCACTGAAGGATTATTCTGGAAAGGGTCAATCAAAAATACAACAGTAAATTGCAGTATCTGCAATGAACATTACTTAACCAATCCAGCCTGTTATGTACAATTAAAAAAATTTTTTTTGTAATTTCAATATTCCTTGGTAAGCATCGTTGTACACTGATCTGAATGCTTGCTTTCAACTACAGATGAACACAGAGCAGAAAATATATGGATTTACAAGAAATAACTCCCATGACACCTGAGTCAACAACATGAGTCAGGGGACATATGTACAATATGTTTCCAACAGATATGTTCTTATATATACAGAGAAAGAATCTGGACAGTTAGACGCTAAACATTAACCATGTTAAGACTGTTAAAATGAGCTATACTACATTTTGACAATTTAAGACATACACATATTTTACAGCTGCTATTTTAATTTTGCAAGTCCTGAGCAGTTTGTTCTTATTGGTTTTGACTTTAACTCTTAGTTACCAGCTCTAAGTTCAGGTATCATCAGTTTCATCTTGTTCTTTTAAAGAAATTGAAACTTGAGACTAGACTCAAACAGACTACACTACAAATGACATGAAATTAATATTTGGAACTTTTCTACAAAGCATTAGTAATGTTATGAACTTTTAAACCACATTTCTATCACTAATACAATAATTACTAGTCTCAAAAAGCTGCTCCTCGGTAAAAAGGCATTTTGAATTCGGCCTAGACAGCAGTAGTGAGGAACAAGAAAATTTCAAGGAACAGAAAGTTTTGTAGGGAAAAAGTATTTTTAACTTGCTTTGTACTTTCATAAAGTCATTTTTATGTAATCACGATTTATTTAGAGCTAAGAAAAAAAGGAAAGGAAAGGAAACAAAAAGGAATATATTAACTCTATCATTCCTTTTAACTTTGAAGCACAGCTGAATAATATCACTGAATTGCAATTAGGCCACTGAAAAGTTCCAGATGAAGAGAGGACGGAAGCTGAGTAAACAACAAATGAAAAAAAATAAAAGGGTCAAATATTCAGCTTCTCACCACAAACTACAATAAAAACACCTAACCTAACACATTTCCAGTGACCTATGCTTTACTATATGAGTGCATGATTATTGTACCAACACTAAAGTGCATTCACATCACAAACATTAACATAAATAAGAAATTTATTTTTTTAAAAACCCTCTAGAAACAAAACCGTTGCACAGTATTTGAGTTTTGCAAGGGCTTCTCTACATTTCCATTCCCCTAAATTATGAGTATGCATCCTCACTTTAAAGCAGTGATTCTAATGGTGAGAGACATTACTAATGATGGAATTTAGACATAAAAAAGGTTAAAGAAAGTTTTAAAGCAAACCGAATTTTAGTACAAAGCCTCAGATAGGTATTTCCATCAGCAAACCACATGTACATTTTGTAAAAATTCTGTTATATTCATTGCTAACTTGGTCTGATCAAACGAATGTTTGTAGAAAGACATCACTGTTGCCAAGTTTCTCTCATCTTATCACACTGTGGTTTCCACAAGTGCTGATCTATCACATTTCCTTAGCAATCTAAATGCTACTAATACCTAATTATTGAATCTATACAAATGCTAAGGTGTGCTGGGACACAAAGGTACTTTTCCCCTCTGTTCACACTCTTACATCTGAGAACAATTAATGAACGAAGACCTTTTTCAATAATAAAAACCTCTGCTTTGTGTTCTTGCTGCCATCTCTGGTCCTATTTTTAAAAATTAAGTTCCTAATTCACAATCACAGTATAGCCAGGTCACAGGGATGGTAGAACAGCACAGAGAATACCATTAATGACTCTGTAACATCTTCCTATGTTCACAGTGAATGCAATGGAAGGGCTGAGGACTTGATAATATGGGTGAATGTTGGAACCACTGTTGTATATTTGAAACCATCAGAGGATTGCGTATCAATGATGCTTTAATAAAAAAATTTAAGTTCCTTTGCAATTAATTTTTAAAAGGTGTGCAGTTCTACCAAAAACTATCAATATAAACTTGCTGGAGAATTTGGGGGCAAGAATGCCTATAATCACATTCAGTGTTAAATGCAAAAACAATTTTGGGATGACTACCAAAGAGCAAAATTCAAAATTATGATTTTTCCATATTATTAAAGGCAAGGGGTTTTTATTTATTTATTCTTATTTCTTCTGAGTTTACATTTGAATAACTAATGTAATATTTTTCTTAACAACATACAATCCAAAAGAAAGGGAACATAACCTTCCCATTCACATTTTAAAAATCATTTTTGTGGAGCGAAAACAATATTTGATGACAAAGATTTGAATAAATGCAGTTGACTATTCAGTAACTACAAAGTGAGAATATATAAATTAGTGTAGAAATAAACTCAAAAGCGAAGTGAAACCAGATGGATCAAGACCAGAAACCAAAAGCTCCTTGTTCATTGGAAAAACAATGGAAAAAAATATATAATAATCTTCTTAACAAGTTCTTTTAAGAGTGAAGTTTTCCTGTTATTATTTCAAGCACACCACTTTATGAAAAAGGCAGTGTGTATGCAATAAGAAACTTGAGTATACTTGAAACTTAGATTCTTACTTTTGATTTTCTTCTTCTTCTGATTCTTCATGCTGATCAAATAACTCCCATTTAGAAGTTGTTACAGCTGAATGGAAGGGAAAAAAAGGACATAATTCCATAAGGTAAATCAGCTTTTTGCAGTAGCATAGTAGAAGCCCAGCTTTCGAATTAAAAGTTCCTATTACAGAAGTTATTATCTACTTTACCTATTCTTTGAATAGCCATTTCTGTGCTAAATCTATTTCTTTCCTCACATCTCCGCTCTAATTTTATTCAAATTCATGAAGTGACAAATAATCATCCTGAGTTCTTTGCTAGATGGTAAGATTTATTTCATTAGAATCTATAAATATTAACAATTACAGATTATAAACACTAGGATACATGTCCAAGCAAAGTAGGAAAGGAAGGTCTAAGCTTCTTCTAATAAGTCAAGCATTACGGGAGGGTCAAAGCTGGGTTTCTCTCAAACTAATTTCTCAGTAGATTTCTCAACAGGTACAACTTCCCATCTACATTTTCTATCAAAATGCCTTACCCTGAAAGGTTTTTAGTGATTTCTCTCATTATTCACAAAGCATCCAAACTGAAGGATGTAAGAAAATTCTAATAGCAACCACTGCAATGAAAATGCAGCCACTAGACATAAAACATGGTAACACTGGGTCTTAAGACAGAAACATAATATAAAATATAAAAGCATACATACACTCCAATGATTAAATTTAGTTAACTTTTTAAAGCCTAATATTTACTGTACTTGTACTCACCCTGTGCTTCCAATTCAGATTCATCCACAGCTTCCCACTTTGATGGGGCAACTTTAAATATAGGCTCATTCTTCTTTGAGTCTTCACTTGCATCCACTGTTGAGGAAAGATGAACCATTAACCCTAACTACTAGAGGATGACCCAAATCAAAGAGTTCATAGGCATTCACTACATTGTTAAGCAGTTAAAACAAAATAAGGCCACATATGGACTAGTAATACTAGTGTCAAGAAGAGGATTACACCTAATCCAGGTCTCTGCACCTGAGGTCCAATTTTTAATAGTATATGTAGCAACTCAGAACATACAAGTTATTATGTCAAGAAAATGGAGAAGTTGAAGCACTAGAAAAATCTTTAATACCTTTACCTCATTACTGTTTAAATTACAGAACTTTTATATTGTTGAATTGTTTAACATACATCAAATGTACTGCCGATGGTGTACACTTCCTATTTCCAAAAATTATTTTAGGTAGCTAGGAAAAACTAAGCTGTAACTTAGGAAAACTAATAATAAAAATGGAACTGATAAAACTAGGCACCTAGGGTTATGAATACAATTCAACACAAGATTTTGCCTACAGTTGCCTGACAAGACAAAAAAAGAGAAACTTGATCATATAAGAAGCTGACTATCCCCAAAATAAAATGTGACAAGAAAACCTTTTTCTTGGCACAAATGCATCATTGGGATCTGAATTTTGAAAGTCAGAAATAAGTGACAGAAAATAGTTACTGACTGACACCTAAATCAGAAATTACAAACTTTTTCCATATCAGCATGTGTGGAAATTTCATAAAGAGTTTTGTAATCAAATTTACTAACTAAGTTTAATCAGTTTGAAATTTGTACTCACAAGGCACTCCATCAAGATCATCATCAAGACTCTTTATAGGAACTCCATCAAGATCATCAATAGGAGTAGCATCAATAGGAATTCCATCCACATCTTCTAGAGGTGCACCATCAAGCTCTTCCTCAATGGGGGCACCATCAAGGTCATCTGGTACATCCTACAAAAACACACATTCTACTGGGACATATTCAAAGTCAAACTGCTACAAGGTTAATTTGGAATTCAGAACAAACCAACCATGTGGATACCCCCACATTCCTTTGTACAATGTAAGGGCATATTAAGAATATATTTTATCATCCAGTCTGACAAAAAAGCAGCCATTCATTCTTTATTTATCAAATATTTACTCAGTGTTTACTGATGCCAGGTACCTGTGAGGCATAGGAGATACAATGATGAGTACAAATGAGCTTGGTCGCTTACCCATCCTGTCATTGAGCTTGGAATTTTTCTTTTGTGAGAGTGAGGTGGGAGGAGAAGGAGCCAGGAAAATAGATAATCAGAACAATATACATATAACTGCAACTATGATGACTGCTATAACAAAGAGGTATACAATATTATTATTAAAAGATATAATAAGTAGGTTTCACCTAAAGAGGTCGGGGCTTATGCTTAAACTATCTTGGGTAAAGAGGAGACATTTAAAAGAGAGGGAACAAGTACAAAGATCTATGGTAGGAGGAAACATTGGACATTCGGGAAACCGAAACAAGGGCAATGTGGTTGCAGCAGGGGATGCCATTAGGAGGATCTTGCAGGAGTGAAAGTGGAAAGAGGAGAGCTGGACTAAGATGGTAGAAATAAAGGAAGATTTAAGAACTATTAGGAAGATAAAAAGCAACAGGATGGCCATGAATGGAATTTGCTACCATTGTGGTGCATCTTTCTGTGTACATATTTATATATATAATTATCTTTAACAAAATGAAATCATGCTATATATATTGCTCTATTATTTGATTTTTTTTCTCCAACATATTATACATCTTTTCAGATCATTAAATAAAAAACCAGTCACCAATTTTCACATAAGGACACACCACAGAGAATTCCTGTTAGACATAATTTCAAATCCTGGGCTCCAGCAATTTCAGCAACAAAAACCCAAGACTTAGGGGTAGTAAACATCAGGTATTTTTCCCAAAGAAATGTTACTCCCATCAATAACATATCACACTTCCACAGCATCTCCAGAAATAAATTTTAAAATAATCAGACAAATACACTGAACACCTACCTCTGTTTCCTTTTCTTCAATAATATTTACAAGGCCTAAGAAAATATTTTGTAATTTGATCAAAAATGGTTCTGGATAAATTGCCCAATCTTCCCATGCTCTAAAGCAGGTCATTACCCGTTGCTAAATAAAGAGGAAAAATACAATGCTTTACTATTTTTGGCAATACTTCTCAAACTTCATTCCATGAGAATGACCATCGTGATTTCATTTTCCTTAAACTGACATTCTTTTTAAAACTTAAAGAAAATAACTATTATTACAATACTTTTAAAAATCAGTGTCACCTTCTAATTGAAAGGAAAAAATTAAAAATATATATACTGAAAAAGAAACAGTAACTATTTGCTCTTGATCACCTAATGTCCCATACCACAGGCAGTACAAAAGCCACATTCTGGCAAACACTAGCTTATAAATTTATGAAAGCTGAATATGAAGGTCACGAAGTCTTGACCCAAGTTCCTTTATGGTCTGATGAAGTACTTTTGACTTTTCTTAACATTGGTCTACAGCTTTAAGAGGTTATAAAAATTGGTAACAATATACTTCCTAAACATGACCAACTAAAAATCAGTGTTCCTAATCCAGCCAAATTATGTATACCATTATAAAATGAGTTATCTTCTGAATGTGTTTTGTGACAAGAATGGTAATATTTAAATAAAACACTTAAAACTAAAACAGACACCCAACAAAGCAACAGTAGATACTTAAAAACATTTTTTTATACCAAGAGTAAAAATGGCAGTAATTTTAAATAATTTCTGAAATATCAAGTTATGTCTTATACCTGTCTTATGTACTTTATATGATTCCTACCCCCAACCCCCATTTAAAATACTAGGGCAAAAGTAATAAAACCACCAACATACCTTAAAGTTTTCAGACTGTAAATGGCCTTGAATTGTACGATAGGTAGCATTGAGGTCTGAAAATATCTGACATAACTTTGTTTCAAAACTGAAATTCAAATAATATATTTTTTACAATAGAATTTGTTTAAAAATCCCCATCCACTTCAATAATTTAGCAATGAAAACCCTTCCTGGACTTAAAAAAAACCTTATAAATAAATTAACCAAGTAATTCTTTAAAATCAGTAACTTGGTGTTTCAACTCTAAAGCTGTAACTGAACTGCTTCAAATTCTTTTAATTCTGAATTTTTTTTCTCCTGTAAAATCCGCAAAAGTGTCTCTCAAGAACCAGGTTCCTTGACTAGCAAGTAACTTCAACATCTAGAATATCTTAGCTACCTAGTATGACTTCCTTTATTCTTGTAAAATAGGAAATTGAAAAATTGAGCAACCTGTCCAAACCAAAAAACTAATAGCAGAGCCAAGATTAGGACCCACACCTCCAAATTTCCTCTCAGAAGCAGTTCCTGGAGAAAAGCTTCCCTGATTCATAAGATAAACACCTAAAAGGAATTGTAGACTACAAAGAAGGAGATGGGATTAAAGATGGCGGCATGAGAGTAAAGACAGAGGCTTGCTCCAAAAAAATGGATAAAATTAGAAAATTTAATTGACGCAACTAATCCTGAGAGAGCAGCAGGAAAGAGGATGGCGTCAGATGCACACACCTGGAGAAAAGAGCAGACCTCACCGAAGAGGGTAACGTACCAGAGCTGTGGCTCCACCGGACCGGAGCCCCTCCCCCACCCCAGCTCACTGGCAGGAGGAAGAGAAACGGAGCAGGGAGGGAGTGGAAGGCCTGGGACTGCTGAATACCTAGCTCCAGAGATCTGCTCTGGGAGCACAAACCTACATTTCATGGTGCTTTCATGAGACTTGCATGACTACCAGGTTGGAAAGTTAATACAGGCAGAGTTCCTGGGGAGACTGGGATTCTGGCCGCTTGTGGAAAGCAGGGATCCATATCCGGCTGCTCTGGGACAAAAACATACCTGTGTGACCGGCCCACTGGCTCAGGCAGTGGAGACAGGCACAGCAGCCAGGAGGCGGGGAACAGCTCTTTCCTCCCTCCAGGCACACAGTACCGCTCCCGTGCGACCCCCCGACATTGCTGCAGGGGCTGAGCAGCTCCAGAATAGAGCTTCTGGACACTATAGGGCGCCATATACAAACATGAAACGCCAAAGGAACCTTGTCCAGAGTAAAATTATTAATACCACACCCGAGAAAGATTTAAATGATATGGACCTCGTGACTCTTCCTGAAAGGGAGTTTCAAAATAAAAATCATCAACATTCAAATGGATGTACGGAAAGACATCCAAGAACTCAGGAATGAATTCAGATCGGAGTTCCAATCGTTGAAGAGCACGATGGAGGGTATTAAAAGCAGGTTGGATATGGTGGAGGAGACAATAAATGAAATAGATACTAGAGAAGAGGACTACAAAGAAGCTGAGGCACAGAGAGAAAAAAGGATCTCTAAAAATGAAAGAATATTGAGAGAACTGTGTGACCAATCCAAGTGGAACAATATTCGCATTATAGGGATACCAGGAGAAGAGAGAGAGAGAAAGGGATAGAAAGTGTCTTTGAGGAGGTAGTTGCTGAAAACTTCCCCAATCTGGGGAAGGAGATAGACTCTCAGGCCATGGAGATCCACAGATCTCCCAATACAAGGGACCCAAGGAAGACAACACCAAGACACATAGTAATTAAAATGGGAAAGATCAAGGATACAGACAGGCTGTTAAAAGCACCCAGATGCAGAAATAACATCACATAAAAGGAAAGCCCATCAGGCTACCATCAGACTTCTCAACAGAAACCTTACAGGCCAGAAGGGAGTGGCATGATGCATTTAATGCCATGAAGCAGAAGGGCCTGAAACCAAGATTACTTGATCCAGCAAGATTATCATTTAAATTTGAAGGAGGGATTAAACAATTTCCAGATAAGCAAAAGCTGAGAGAGTTTACCTCCCACAAACCATCTCTGCAGTCTATTTTGGAGGGACTGCTATAGATGGAAGTGTTCCTAGGGTTGAATAGCTATCACCAGAGGTAGTAAAACCATGGGAGGGAGGGTGGAGCAGCTGATTGCCAGGCAAATGTAAAATTAAATTGACTATCCCCAAAGTCAATCAAGGGATAGACAAAAAGTACAGAATTTGATACCTAATATATGAAGAATGAAGGAGGAAGAAAAAGGAAGAGAAATAGAAAAGAACCCTTAGATTGTGTTTCTAATAGCATACTAAGTGAGTTAAGTTAGACTCTTACATAACAAGGAAAGTAACCTGCAACCTTTGGTAACCACGAATCTAAAGCCTGAAATGGCAATAAATACATACCTATCGATAATCACCCTAAATGTCAATGGACTGAATGCACCGATCAAAAGACAAAGAGTCACTGAATGGATAAAAAAACAAGACCCATCTATATGCTGCTTAAAAGAGACTCACCTCAAACCCAAAGAAATGCACAGACTAAAAGTCAAGGGATGGAAAAAGATATTTCATGCAAACAATAGGGAGAAAAAAACAGGTGTTGCAGTACTAGTATCAGACAAAATAGACTTCAAAACAAAGAAAGTAATAAGAGATAAAGAAGTACATTACATAATAATAAAGGGGTCAGTCCAACAAGAGGCTATAACCAT